GGAGATGGGACGGACTTTTGAGGTGTCGAATTTTGTGGGGGCAGCAGATACCGCGCACTGCCACTCGGGCGTAGGAACGGCCCCGAGAAAAGGGGGTCTCCAAGGATCGAAGGTCCAGAGGCGTCTTATTGAGAGCGGAAAGGGATGAGGTCCCAAGGGGGACATCGCCATTGGGGTCTGTTCAGTCAGCTTGCTGGAAAGGGACATGTGCAGGTCCCTTGGCGGATGGCTCAGTGAGCACCCTCCGGATGTGCCAAACAGGTGGAGGTTCGGAGTCCCGTTTGCACTCTTATAGGGGMCTGCGTGCTTAGCAGCCCCCTTGCAGTCGACGACGGCGACGTTCCGGGCGTGGGTTTTGGGACCTTGTACTCGAGTTACGGGGGACTCTCTGCACACGCTTTGGGTGGTTTCCAGTTTGCGAGGGATGGGCGAGTCGTGCTTTGGTGGTCGAGCGAACATTTTTGCAGCCCTGTTTGGGTCCATGGTCGTCTCTCTCGGAGGGCCTATCTCACGACAGCTCGGTCGTCGTTGGCGGCGGTCGCGGCTGTTGGGGCTTTCCTATGCCGTGGTGCCGGGTTGTGGATCGTTGCGTTCACCCTCGCTCATCGTCTTGCGATGATTGGCGCCTGATCGCCGACGGCGGTCCGGTTGGCGGTCGTTTGAAGGGTGTGGAGGCGGAGGTGCCCGTCACCAGCTCTCAGCTTCGGCACCATCATCCCATAGGTTACGGGGAGAGCTGTTGCGGCTTTGTTGTGGTGTCGTCTTCATGTCCACACTCACAGCGGCACTTTCTGTTTGTGTTGAGGGGGTGTCACGACTTGGTGAGCATGCTCTGCGCTCTTCGCCATCCGAGCGGCGCCATTGAGCGGTGACGCAGGTGGCCTCGGCCATGCATGAGCTGCTTACCGTATGCGAGGGCGGAGACTTGTGGGATGCGTGATGCACCCTCCGACGGTGTCGCGAGGCTGGGCCCGTCATCCGCCCGAGTTTTTGGAATGCGCGCTTGTGCCCGTCGTGTCCCCCATCCTGTGGTCTCGGTATGCTGCACACCGTGACGGATCGCGTTGCGTCGTGGTTCCACTGCGTTTAGGTTGTGGGCTTCGAAGGCCACTGTCCTCTGTCTCCTGGGTTTCGCCTGCATCGAGTGCTGTTGGTGGTGCCCGCGGCAACCGACGGATGTGGACCCAGGGGGGAGAGGGGTTGTGTTCCTTTTGCGCCCCCGTGCACAGGTGGAGGCTTTCCGTCCGTCCGGGCGTGTTGGAAGCGTGGTGCATTCGTTTCTCTCTTCACCCGCGTTTCCCAATGGAGAGATGAGGCTGTGCACTTCGCTGTCCGTACGTTTTGGGCGGGCGGTGGCATCCGGATGTGGGCCGAAGCTGTCGGTGGTTCCTTCGCGCGCGCCGTTGTTCGGGTAGTGTGGTTAACTTGCGATCTCTGGGTGTGGTGTGGGCGGGTGCTGTTCGCAGCCAATCTCTTGGGCGGGTGAGGCGGGCTGTGTTGGATGGTGTGATACCTTGCCGTTGGAGATGGCCTACGCAGGGAAGTTCACCTGCAATCCAAACAGCCGGACTTCGCGGCGTCTCGGCAGCTCATTGCACATTCCACGATTGTTCGACGTTCTTTTGGTAGGCTGTCCGGCGTGACGTGCGTATGTGCGCCTCGGCCATCGCTCCTTGCGGCTGCTCSTCACACCCGCTACCTGGTTGATCATGCCAGTAGTTCATCTGATGGATCTAATCATACGCACAGACGATCGGCAGGAACCAACAGACAAAGACCATCTGGAAGGGCAAGAGCTTCCTCATCTCGGATGCACAGATATCCCACTCGCGCCACGAGAAGGTCAAGGGTGACAATGGAGATGGAATCATCTGCCGTCCTGCCTGACGGGGGGAACTAACAACGTGTCATCAGGAAAAAAGAAAGAAGGTGGGGGGGGGAAGTAACATGATTCGAGGGAAGAAAAGGCGAGATGGAAGGGACTGACATTGTACCATTAGGATGAAGGAAAGAAGGTGGGGGGGGATGTGAGGTCACCCGAGGGAAGAAAAGGTGAGATGGAATGAATAGAGTAGGTACATAGATTGACTGGGATCAGAAGAAGAAGAAAGGGGGCGATGGGATAGATACGATAGGGAGATAGATCGATTGGGTACCATGGTGAAAGAAGGTGGGGAAGGGAAATGTAACATAACTTGGGGAGGAGAAGGCTAGATGAAATAGATAGAGTAGGAACACAGACCGACCAGGGACAAAGAAGAAGAAAAGGGGGAGATGGGATGGATAGGACAGGGAGACGGACCGATTGGGTACCGCGGCAATACACTCAACTTTTACAAATGATACACATGCAGTCAAATACACCACTTAGAATAGCTTCACTCAATGCACGAGGACTGGGTACACGCTCAATCTCCTGGAAGGCACGAGAGATACGTCGCCTGGTAGATAGGGAACGTATACAGCTTCTCTGCCTTCAGGAGACGAAAGTCAGAGAGGAACAATTACGAAGGGGGGAAAGACCGGAGCTAGGGAAGGGGTTTCAACTGTGGGCGCCGGCAGAGGGAAGTAAGGGTGGGGTAGCCATTGTGGCCACAAAGCATTTCACAGGGAAAGTGATGGACAACTTTGCAGATTCTCAAGGCAGATGGGCCTGGGTGTGGATAGAAATGGAAGGACAACGCATACTGGTAGCCACATTGTATGCACCTCCCGACACGACCGACCGGAAGTGGTTTTGGAGACATTTACCGACACATATCCCGGACGTGGAGGATATGGTTCTCACAGGGGATTACAACACCATCCATAATCCGGGGATGGACTCTGCACGCCTAAGACCACAACGACCGGACGCTGAAGCACTACAAGGAATGATGGCCGAATTCATGTTGGAAGATGCATTTCGCACACTCTGGCCGGACAAACGAGGATTCACATGGACTGGTAATAATGCACATAAACGCAGTCGACTGGATATGGCCTGGATGTCAGTCAACCTCACCCATAGTCTGGTACGAGTAACATTAACACCAGTTGCACTATCGGATCACAAAATGCTGCTCACAGAAATCCTCATCGCCGCACAGATAGAAACTCGGCCACCTCCGTCCGCAGTCCCGCACTGGATGTTTAAAGACCCGTTGCACTGCCGATTGGCATGTCAACATTGGGACCAATGGAATGCCATACATCCTGAAGCTGCGTCTCCTGCAGAACATCTGCACTTAGGCATTGCTGCCCTCACTCAAATAATGAAAGCACGTGCACATGCCACTAAACAAGCACACTTACGCACCGGGGAAGACTATGCCAGAAGAATGGAGGCATTGGGGACTGAACCGCCCGAACAGGAAGAGGACGACTGGTGGGCACAATGGACACTTCTGCACACACAATGGGAGGAATGGCAACGGTTAGATGTAGCAAGATGGGGATCAGCTAATAAGCACGGTGGACTGGCCTTGCAGAGCGCATGACAGCAGCATTTTTTCAGCTACTGAAGGACAGACGGACATCGGACAAAATGACATCTTTACAGCATCCATACCACCCGGAAGCACGAATGGCCACTAATACCCCACACATAATGCAGTACGCAACGCTGTTCTACTCCACACTCTACACAGAAACGGAAGAATGGGACCGGCAGCAATTGCGAGAACAAGCATGGGGGGAGGTATGGACGACATGTAGAACTGCAGTCACATCACAGCAGGCACATGCTCTAGAACAGCCAATCACACCAGGAGAGATCCTGCGAGCTTTAGCAGATATGCCTAAAACTAAGGCCGCCGGGCCAGATGGGATGCCCATGGACCATTTGCATGCTGTGCACAGACAAATTTTGCCATTGCTTAATGAATTTTTAACGCAATTTTCTTGGGACAGGAACAGCCACCGCCTGGATTCGGGGATGCCACAATCGTACTGCTGTACAAAAAGGGGGATCCAGCGAATATTAGGAATTGGCGTCCTATTTCATTGCTTTCAGCGCCGTATAAACTCTTTGCCAAAGTCTTGGCCAACAGAATGGCCACAGTGCTTCCCGGGACTGCAACTCAAGTCCAACAGCTTCGCAGATGACACTGCGGCAGTCACAGAAGCATCCGATACAAGCGTGGCGGCTATGCGTGACACTGTTGCCACGTTCCAACACTTTGCAGGGGCCCAAGTTAACTGCGAGAAATCCACAGTTCTTCTTCCCCCGGCCGCGGACCCGGACCTCTTCCAAGACATGAACATAGTACCGCAAGGTCTAAACACCCGCTACCTGGGTATTTTACTCCCGGCAGCACTCACAACGGGAGAACAGATGGAAACACTGCTAACAACTGCCCTGTGCAAAATGCATAGATGGGCTAGAGGCACAGACATCGGAATAGTGGGAAAGACCATCATTGCTAATAATGCAGTCTCTTCCACATTGTGGTATGCTGCGCCCTTATCTGCCCCTGAGAATAGGGCATGGCGTGAGTACAAATTGGCCGTTAGGAAATACCTCTGGAAGAATGATCCATACGCACCGCAACTGATCTATCGTGTCCGCTTGGAAAAACTGATACAGCCCAGAGCACACGGGGGTTTGGGACTGTTGGACCCGCATTTGCAAGCTACAGCGCTCCGGATGAGAACGGTAATGTGGCTACTTCTGGAGAGAAAAGATGCATCGTGGAAAATAATCACACTAGCCAGCATGGCAAAGGCTCTCAAGGTAGATCCGGCTGATGTGGAAACAGCATTGTTGCACCGCCAACTTCAACGAGGGCTCACACGAGGGGCGCTGTGGACTCCGACGCTGGAAAAATGGAAGAGCAACGCGTTGCAACAGAAGGAGCCCAAAACAGTCGATCAAATTCTGGGGCAATTCCTGTTCGACAACACCTTTATTTGCAGACAAGGACGCCCCTTTGCATGGCAAAACGAACCTGGAGCCTTTGGGCGACAATGGCTTGCCTGCGGGGTGTCGAAAATTCAGGATCTGTGGGATTCGACTGTGAATGAATGGAAGACCGACACACAGATGGCGGACCTCCTAAGACAGCAGCCAGAGCGGCAAGAGCGCCTGCGCCAACTCAGAGAAGCTATACCAGCAACCTGGGTAGACCGCATGCGACTGAACCAAAGGTTGAAAGGGGAATGGATAGCACTCAACACAGAGGATCCGCCACAGGCTCTTTTCCGGCTGAAGTCTGGAAGTCAACAAGACTGGTATGAAACAGAGGCATGGGAGATCATGGATCCAAACGCAGCACTGGGGGAGCCGATGACAAGAATTCCAAGTAGAGATGGACTCATTCACAGACTCAATATGCGCTCAGTGGTGGTTCTCAAGGATCGCACACAACATACAGATTTGAAGTTTCGACCTTTCAAACCACGAAGAACCCCGTGTCAACTGCCTTGGGATCCTTCTTCGTGGGAATGGAATGCAAAAAACACACAGCGAAAACAGTGCAGGCCGCATCAAGTTACTACCAAGACCATATATCGCACACTGTTGGGAACCACAGATATGGCAGAGGAGATGAAGGTGAGATGGGTAAAACGAGGATGGCTGGAAGCACAGGAAGTACATACCTGGACAGAGCAACAATGGAAAGTGGCCAGCAGAACTCTCATGATGCTGGCGGACCAAAAACGAGCAGGGGGACTGTGGCTAAGCATGCATCTCGCCATACCGACATTCCAATGGATGGCGGCACACAGCACAGCCTTAGATACACAGTGTCAGGAGTGCGGTTGTCAGATGGAGACCCTTCCACACTTGTGGCTGGACTGTGACTCACAGGCCAAATTTTGGCAATGGTGGCATACACTGGGTACACAGGTACCTTTGTCCCCGGCCTCTTCTACACACAGAGGCCAAGTGATGGTAGGCATGGCACTGCTGGGGACTGCATCAACACCTGAAGCCGCCTACGCAGGAGATACTGTGAGAGCAGCATTTTGGGGGGCAGTATGGGCTATAAGGGGACGCTTGCTTCGAACGGGACAACACGGGTCCCCGAATACACTCAAGGCATGGACTTTGAAGAACTTGCAGACAGCGATCACGGCGGATGTTCACCGACGAAGGAATGGAGGATGGTCTTTTTTCAGGGCTGCATGGAACCCATACCCTCAGGTGCTGCGAACGCAGGAACAGAAGGGAGAATGGGCCTGGGCCCCTGCATTTGAGGCAATCCTTCGCCAATCACAAGATCAAGAAGACATGCCGCTTCAGCCAAGGGATGAGTCCACGGCTCAGAGTACCGATATTGATAACTCTGGCACAGCATAGTGTAACCCATCATGTACATAATGTGAATTTTTTTTTATTTATTTTTTTATTATTATTTTTATTTTTAACAACGATAGGGAATAGGGGGTGAACACACAGACATTTTTTAGAGCACAGTGACGACAGGGAAGAGGGGGTGAACACAGACAATGGGTTAACCTTAAGGGAAAGGGAGGGAGAAAAGGAGAACGACAGTAGAAAGGGAAGGGGGAGGGAGGGGAGGGAGGGATACACCTTTCATAATACTTAGAGTATAGTAAGGACAGGGAATAGGGGTGAACACACAGACAATGGGATAACCTTAGGGGAAAGGGAGGGAGAAAAGGAGAACGATAGAAGAAAGGGAATGGGGAGAGAGGGGAGGGAGGGATATACATGGATCTGGGAAGGGGGAGGAAAGGGAGGGAGGGATATACATGGATATGCTCCGCAGATCGGAGTATGTCTGTTTTTTCATAAGCTGCGTCTGCAGGCATGAGATCGGCTATCGAATCGCTGTGGGATAAGTACTGTACACGCTTCACGGGATCGGACGGGACCAACAACAAAACTACATTCACGAACATCGACGACATTACAGACTGCGGCAAGAACCTCTTACAGCCAACATCAACAACTACAACGACAAGATCAGCACGGAATGTGATCTCAGGATACAAACATGCAGTGATTGTACACTAGTGGGGAAGTTAAATGGGGGGAGGGTGAAGGAAGGGTAGGAGACACCGGAACATGTTAAATTGTTGGAATTCTTTAATTTTCTTTAATTTTTCCTTTTTTTTTTTGGAGGAAGGAGCGAAGACTTGACGACTTCTCTAGCAGCGCCTGCCCTTATGGTGAGGGTGTAGCGACAGGGTGCGGTATGCCTCCCGGCAAACACCCCCCCCATGAGTAAAGGTGTCTGAGTTCAGAAACCGCCAAGTCTGACGCATGCGACATCTTGCACCTGCAAGTGCCGATACTTCCCCGACCCACCCTTCTGTCTGTTTCTGTCTGTCTTTTCAAATCTGTTGCTTTCTATGCTTGCCGGTGATAAGCAACCGGACTGACGCCCCCCAGAATAGATGCGGCATGTGTGTGTGTGTGTGAAAAAAAAAAAAGAAACTGCGAATGGCTCAATAAATCAGTTATCATTTATTTGGTGGTCTCCTTACCATGAAACAGTTTTCACCTTTGGCAGTAGCCGATGCAGATCCCAGGGGTCGATCCCTTGACCTCAGCTTACCTGTGTACAGTATCTGCACAGTTCCCTGGAGTTGAACC